GAGAGAGAGATTGTGACAGAAAAAATATATCTAAGAATGCTGGGGAGAAAGATGAAGAGTATGACAAGGAGAAAGAATAAAAAAGAGAGAAGCAAGAGAGGTTGAAAGGGGGAGACCACAGACACGAATCGCCTCCAGTTACAAACTTGTGCGTGGTGGATTGTTGGCAGTGCTCCGAAGCCCTACTCGATCCTTTCCTCTCTTCATTTTTTTCTCTCCTTTCGGTCTCACTTTTGGAGATATTAACCCCGGCCCATCGCCACTGGTGTAATTACTCAATAAGAAATCAATGCGCCTGGAGAGCTTCACGCAAGAAGGGAAGAGAATACTTTCTCGGTCCATTGAAGCAACATTGCCTTACATAGTAATGGCTCTTATGTAAAATAACAAATCAAGATGCAACCGGAAGCCAGTTGAATTGATTGTCGATGGTTGCATCTATACCTTTGAAATTGACACAGAAAATGTACCTCCTGTGATACTCCTTGAAAAGTATCAATTTTTCCTCATCACTACATGCCATACCTTTTAACCAACTTCCATGTCTCTTCACTTCTGAAAGTACATGCATGTTACAAGTGTGAACTATATTTTAAAGAATGTTTGTGTTAAGGTTTAGAGTGGGGGAAAACAAACCATCTAATTCAAGTAGACATTGAAACTTTGATAATTAAGCATTTCTTCCATCAACAGAAAACTATTGATAATCGATATTGTACACACAAAACCTCAGTCCTGAAATACATAAATCATTGTCAGTTCCAGATAAACTTCATACAGTTTAAAGCTTTTCTGGAATATATATGACATTCGAAAAGGTAGTTTAGAGGGAGTATCTTCAGTGAAATTTAAAGATACTTAAAGATTAAAGATATTTAAAGTTTAGGTAACTCAATACTACATTCAACTGTACAAGAAAGGACTTTATAGTTTTCATGTGAATAAATGGAGATAATATTGCACTTCTTCTTGACTACAGACCATGAATAGAATTGCCTTGTTTCAATATTTGAATAGCAACTAGATCTAGCTTTTTGGAGTCATTATTTAATTCTACATCTGAATAATTCCTTTAATCAAACATCTACACCTAATCTATTTCATGACCATTATGGCCATTTACTAAAGGCCCTTTACAAATACATCTGGGCCCCGTCTAATAAAGAGTTGATATCGATCGCAACTTATTGATATCAATCGCAACAATGTTCATAAGAGATAGGAAACTGCAAACTTGCGATTGATTGGAGGACTTGCGATTGATTTGGATCAATCGTAACTCTTTATAAGGCAGGGCCGAGGATTTATCCAAAGCTATTCTAAGCTTCCCCAAAGCATGAAGCAAAAGCTTGAACCAATTCATCCAGCATACGCATCCAATCTTAGCAGTTGTCATATCGGAATCGTTAAAACCACCCCTGACCAGCCTGGAGCAAAACGTGAAGATAAATCTGGTATTATACTGCGATGCTGGCATCAGGGATGTCGATTGCTGATTTGTATTAAGAGGAGTGACGAAGATGAACCAGTAGTAATTAAGGAATTATGAGAGTACAGAGGGGTTCCGAGGGCATATTAACACCGATATAGCTAGCAGTCGTGTAGAAATGTGCAATCTCCATACATGATTAGAAAACCGTCCTGTTTTTAATTGTTTATCGGTGGATGAGAATCATCCCGGCAGGATCAACTGTCATTCCCAAAGCACAAATAAAACTTTTAACTTTTGATTGCTTCTAGCAGAAGTCCCTCAGCTGTATTTGACAACAAATTCAAAATCTCAATCATGTTTTCATCTATCAGTCTACCAATATCATATCATATTCTTCTTTATGAATCATATTATGAATCATTTTTAAATTATATCTATTATTTGTTGTATGAATACATATTTTAGGGATTATGTCATGATGATATCAATATTTCAATGAATGGCATATCTTGTAGGAATCACCTTGGGGCATCATTAAAGTATAATACCTTGGAATATCTTAGATCATTGTCTGCCTTTGTAAATGATTCTAAAGATAAAATATGACTGCATATTTTCATATGTTCATGTTTAAGCTAATCAAGTTTATCAGTTTCAAAAATATAATTATAAGTAGAACATGTGATTATCCTCAATAGATTTGCACAGAATTTCGACTTGTAACTGTAGCCAACCCCACACCCCCCCCCCCCCCCCTCCTCACTAAACAAAAAAGGAACTTTGTGAGATTGCCTGTGAGAATTTTTTGTAATAAAGCTTTTATGGCTTAGGAAAATGCATTAGTTGACTATTATATTTCTCCTTTTCAATTCAAATCAAGGTTGCCGTCTTCAGAGATAAATCCATTAACTGTAAATCCATATAAATCAATATACAATGTATTTGCGCCGCTTTCATTGACATCATATATATTACAACTTCTGGATTTAGATTTCTGAAGCCCCAAAATACACTATTATGTTCAAGTAATGAATGAAATATGAAATATTTAAGGTACTATTTCACATTTGAAAATAAATATTGCAAAATAAGTCCAAAGGCAAAGGATGATGGGAAGCAAGATTGTATGAAATAATGTATCAACGAAATATGAATTGAAATGATACTCCTCTAGTTATGATGGCATGTATGCATATGACTTGGGGTTACATGTACATGTACTCATATCACGGTACAAATACAATTCTTATTGAGAGTTAACATTAATTTTCCCCTCATATAACATTGATCACTTTCCTGTCAAATTTCAGGTTTATTTCTTTTCACAGTCTAACTATATGGCAAATCAATGAAATATTAATCTACTTTTATGGTCAGTGTAAAAATTTTAATAGGACTTTCATAACTCAGAGAACTATTGTTGACAAAACTTCTTTCCTTTGTGGGTTGGTCAAGGGTTAGAAACCAGAAGAAGAAAACTTAAAAGATAAAGGATATAAATGGGTCAACGATGAAAAAGGGAATATATTTTGCGGTCTGATAGCAAACACAAGGTCAGTAGCACTGGGTTGAATACCATGGGGGTCATTTTCTTACAATCAGTGGTCAATTTCTTGACCAAAAGGTGGATTTATTAGGCCATCAACCCCTTTCTATAATCCCAGAGTCTCATACTTGATCAGTTCACTATTCACTGCTACTTTATATACCGGGTAATAATAATCTACAACCCAAATTGAACAAATGTTTATAATGATATTATTATGCGTGATAAAATGGTGTAACTTTCATAGAATGAAGCAACTCATGAGAGGAAAGCGTGCAGGAAGAAAAAGACAACACAAAAGATCAAATTAATGATCCAAACGAGGGATCAACTCGAATCAAAACAAGTCACAAAAAAGTAGTTGTCCCCCTGGCCATAATAAGAAGTAATATTATCCTGTGTATTCAAAATCTATACATATATATTACTCTTTATAAAGGTAAGCAGAAAGTAGACCACTAAATAAGAATTTGACATTTTGAAAATCATTTTCTGTTTTCTTTCAATAATGATCTCTAGCTTTATGTTCAATATTTTGAACAATGATATTTGTTGTTATGTCAGCTAGTGATTCACAAATCTTCTCTTGGTCTACACCCTTTTCATGTCATTTTTCTTGAAATTGTATCAGACCTCTTCCAGATATTTGATAGGTAATTATAGGTGACTGCTTCATACAAAATAAAACCCTTTCTTACTCCTGTCCACCACAATATAGTTATCATATATGTGAGATCAGATCTCACAATTATCTTCAAATATTTGTGGTCTAGACACTTTGGTGGACCTTTACACAAAATTCAATAGGTCAAATCTACCCCTCTGTATGCCATGGTATCTATCCCTTTCACAGGAGATAAAGATCAAAATCACGCGATGGTATGGGAGATACCAAATAGACTGAAATGGATATCAATTTGTTTTCAAGATGGAAGACATTCATCTCCATACAAATGAAAAATATTGATTCTCACACAAAAATAGAAGCAAGCGGATGATATATCTATGAGTGCATCACGCAAGTCCTCAGCAATAATACTACGGCAACTCATATTTCTGGCTATTACTGATATAGGTTAAGGTTTGTTCAGATATGGCACGGTAGACCGCCGTTAAAAAGCTGCCGCTGTTGTTTTACATATAAAATGAATGGCAATCACATGCAACAAAGGACTTGTGCATATTCACTGAGTTCTGTGTTAAAAGATTTTAAAATGAGAAGTATATTACACTTCACATCATCATTTAAAAAAAACGCAGCGATTTTGCCGCAACATATCTGAACAGGCCTTTAGAATTTGTTCTGACATCTCTGACTTACCCTCTATACCTGCTCATGGCATTGATTGAATGAAAAGTGAGAAAGGGGCAAAATATTAGGGTCATTTCAAGGGGGTAAGGAGGGGGGGGGGGGCTAAATATGCTACAATCACTGGATTAATCTGATAATGATCAGCAATAAAAAATTGATTGGTATCAATATAACACTCTAAAGATAATGGAAAGAACCATTGTGATATAATATGATATGCCAGACAATGATCATCATTATCTAGTCATGACCTCACAAAGAACTTTACTATATGCTACTTATTGGTGAAAAAGATTTGGCAATCCATTTATTCCAAAACATAACCTGTCTGGACAAATACTTTAAAGATATTCAATGAAGCAACTGTATTTGTGTTCCTACTTAGACCCAGACAAAGCAAACCATTTCCTGACCGTACGTGACCAGGAAAGCAATCCGCTATACAATCCTTCAATTGGCAACATGATAAAAAAGTTCAACCTTTCCATACAAATTGGGATTTTCTTATAAAGGACTTCATGATATAGTTTCTGTTTATATAAACTCATTGTCTACATATTGTTCAGATTAATGACCTTTCAATTAAAATGTAGTCATGGAAAGAAAAGAAACAGTGTTGCCAATTTGAGTTGATCAATTAACCACTTTTTAACTTTCCGTCCTGAATGTGTTAATGTACGTAGCACCTGTATTTGTGTGATTGTACTTACCTAGACAAAGGAAACCATTTCTTGAGAGAACATGTCCAGGAAAGCAAGCACATCTTAACCTCTTAGCAGCCGTCTCTACACATATCTGTGAGCACGGATGTGTCTGGTCACATTTACCTGCAAGAGATAAGAGAATATATATATATGTTTAAATTCATCTTTGATTAAGTACTAAGTTAACTTTTTAAGAAGAGGGCCAGTACTGATATTGACAATACATAGCTCTTACGGCCTTCTTGTGGCAAGATCAGAAAAATATACCATACAACTTTTACAAGTGATCAACAAGAGTAAAAGAAAAAAAAGTTCAACATTCAAATAAAAAAGAATGATCCCTTCCACCTTGAAATTTTGCCATGAAAACTTCAACTCAAGATGGACTCTCAGACTGGGAAAGTGAGTCATCAGAAGCACGACACCCCTCCCCTCTAACCATCTTGACCTATGACCTCCATTACAACCTGTCACACAGACTTGACCTCAGTTAAATGCCTTAATTTCGTTTGGTGGCTGGCATTGGGCTACAATTAAGGCTGAATACTTTTCCAGTTTCGGTTCCGTATTCAGAAGTCACCTTCTTCCTCGCTGCTTCTTATTTTTCTACTTTGAAATATTCTCTACCATTTTTGTTTGCTTGCTTCCTCTCTATCCTCTTCTCTTTCTTTGACCATTTCATATTTTCCACCGTCTCCAACTTTCTCTATTTTTCTCTTTCTCTCTCTCTCTCTGTTTTTCTTCTGCCTGCTCAAACTTTCTTCTCTGTTTTTATACTTGCCATAACTCTCTATCTCTTCATATCCTATCTTTTCCTTACCCTCATTCTACATGTAATCTCCCTCCCCTCCCCTCCCCTCCCCTCCTCACTCTCTCTCTCTCTCTCTGTTAAATTTTCATCCTCCTTACGATCCCTCTCTATCTCTCCTTACTCATTCTCCCTTGCATGGTCCACCTCTCTGTCTCATTCATACTATCACGTTTGTACTGTTCTCTCTCTCTCTCTCTCTCTCTCTCTCTCTCTCTCTCTCTCTCTCTCTCTCTCTCTATCTATATATCTCTCTATATATCCATCCATCTCCTCTTGTCGCTCTTCATTTTCTTACAATTGGCCCGTTTCTCACCCTACAGCCCATCCACCCTGCTAAGGATCACGTCCAGGAATGTCTTGTTTTTCCACTTGTTCCATTAGCTTTACTCCAGCTCCCTCCGCCCTCCTTGAGTGAATAGCACCAGACACCCGTAAAAGGCCGGAAAGTAAGCTTCGTTTTCGGGACAAAATATTTTATAAACAGGGGTGTACTTGACCCTAACAGCCATCCATATTTCTTGGTCTATTTTTACAGCCTCCCATCTTGGCATTATTTGGTGAACTGAACAAATATGGGGAGTTTGAGAGAGTGACATCCTAATGCATCAATTCATGTTTTTATCTTTGCTCACTCAGCCCTACATATTCTGTGGAAGGTGCAAGATATATTGAACATTATTGTAGGGAAACAACAAAATATGGACAAAGCCATGTAAATTGTTGCACCTGCCCTAGTTCAACACTTGGAGGGGGAAGAATATGCAACTCCCCCTGGAAGAAGCGAAAATAGGAAAGCATTAGTATATCTGTGAAACTTTATAATGATATGCATATGGAAATATTTCTAGGACGGAACTACCTTAAATGTTAAAACGCATGTTTTCAGACAGCAATGACAGTATAAAAGCATTCGCTTTATTACCCATACCCTTTTCATGACTTCACTGGATATACCACATTTGTATAAAAGAAGCATCTGCCTTCCATACTACAGACCAACCGATCTTAAGATTTGAAAAGAAAAGAAAAACCAAACATTATTATCGGAAGGAGATCTACCCCTGTAAAATTAAATGAGAAAAATATTTAAATTGAATGAATCTCATCCTCTTCATTTCTACATCAATAGACTCCTCTAAGCACCAGAGGGAGATGAAAGAATATTGATTCAGAACTGAACAAGTAGAAAGAACAGTCCCAAAGGAAATGAAACAAGTGTTTCGATTCAAAAAGCACATTTCCTACAGCAGTGCACACAGGAAAGGAGCGTTGTTTGTCTGCGGAAACTAGCCTATTGTCAACTCGACCATAAGAAAATGGGTTTCCTCTCCTGGCGGCCTGCATTTAAAACTTCAATTGTAGCAGTAAGTAAAAGGAGCAAGAATTTGGATGCAAAAGTGATGTTCTTGAAGGCAATCTGACTTCGATCAAATTGAAAAGATGTGCAAAAAGAAGAATTGGATAACTAATTTGCAAGTTATTTGAAAAAGGGATAATTTTTTTAAAATAAATATCTTAAATTTTTTAAAAGAAGGGAGAAGATTATATTTCCTCTTCTTTTCTTTGTTATAATTTTCTTTTGCAAGAAAATATCATAAAATAAAATATTGTTTAAATCATTTTTTTATCATTTCATTACAAAAATATTATTATGTAATGTACAAATGGACGGAATTTGGAATGAGAAATTTCATGCCTTTGTGACAAGTTTCACAAAATGTAATGAGGGATACCTGGGTGAAAACATGGACTGGTCCATGTTGAAAATAAGTTGTTCTATACCTGCTTATGTTGCACAAGTGACAAAGGCATACCAGAAAGAATGTCCTCAAGAGTTAGAGCCCAGAGGAGACCACTACGCATACCACTGATCAATACCAACCATTCTCCTGCATTGATCTGGTAGGAGGAAAACACTCTAACCCCAAAGCATCTCATGGTCTCATCATAAGTAACCCCTCAAAGGAAGTATGGATTCCCATTGTCCTTACATACCCGCTGTCTTTGTTGACTTATGAGTTTTATTTGCTGTCATAATGTTTCACTATCAATGGATTAGGAAAACGCTTCAGACGGGCCGCAAACTTTCAAAAGGAACGAAACCAAACAACCTGCATTCAATCTTGATTCTAGACTATTTGTTGTTCGGTCTTTGGGGGTTAGAGAATATTGATTGAAAAAAAAGAAGAAGATGGGACATTCGGCAGGCATGAAGACAGGAAGATGCAAGCATAGATTTAGACTAGTTCCAAGGTGGATTAAAATCAATCGGACGACCACAAACGCGGTCAAGATCAAAATTTGATCAAGATGTGTCTTTGGTTAACCCACTGTAGTCCTATAGGAGCAGCATTTGCAATAGGAATCTGTTTTACGATCCACTGGGAAAGTAGTCCAATTTCTAGGTCTTGGGAGATAGAACTGACCTGTATAGCCTCATCCAATACCACTGAGGGATAAGAGTCTGTCAAGACTATTCTGTAATTCACTTATTCAATTTTCTAACTGGAATAGAATTGACTGTATTGACACAACAGGTGTTTACATGGAAATCTAGAAGTAAAAGCCAAAGAGGAGACACTCTAAAATGGGTGTGACCGACCCTAGCTAGTGGAAAGCTCTTCAAGAAGGCTTCAAGCCAGGTGCCAGATCTTGGGCAACTTTAGCAGTTCTCAAAGCATTCTAATATTTCTGGACTACAAATCAACACTGTCATAGAATAAAAGAGATATTTCTTTCCCAGAAAATATGATTAAATTTGTATACTCGCAGCGGAAGGTCAAATAAACCATGATTTAGATATTTAAATCTTATTTGAAAAATGGAAGAAAAGTGAGAAAAGAGGCAGATAGCTATATTTAAGCCACCACAGCTATATATAAAATTACAGTCTTAAAACAAACAAACAAACAAACAAACAAATGTCAACAACACATCCCCCTCCAAAAAGCATACAAAAACAAAATGCCAACAACACTTCATCATCACTTCATCATATTTGCACACAAACATATTATGGAGGAGGCCTGAATGTCTGTTATATTTTACACATTGGGTGCCAACCGGTATAATGGAATGATCACTTTAACAGTTCCACCCCTCACCTCTATGGCTTCTTCTATTAAACATTTATATGTGTTTACCATTAAGTGGTTTCCCTTATTCCTACTGTTCCGTTCAATGCAAATTCATGATAATAGTGAAAGCAGTATTACTAAGAAACCATGCTGTTTTATCACGAGTTGGCGAGTCACTGGCTTCATCTTGAGCTCTGGTATGGGAATCATATTTTGAGAGAAAATTGCTATGATTTATTCTGGATTGTTTACCTGCAGAAGATTGGACCAGTGATATCAAAACAAACGCACAAAAGTACTTACAGAGCATTACCCAGATTTCCTTATCTTTCTATGCTCCTTACTCAGCCACTATACATTTTCTATCAAAATTGTTTAACACTTGTCATTTATTTGTAATCTTGAGCATTCAGTGTACGTTTCGTTGGATTCCGTGTGGATTTATTTTTGGATATTTACCAGAACTCAAGTTTATCTTTAACCATCAATATTTCACATTCCAACTTGAAACATTCAAGGGAATGTTGCCATGCCAACTGTCAGGTTTCCCATGTACTAGGCCCCAGGTCCCTCTGCTATTCTAGCCTTTATCCTTCAGCATTAATTGAATCTTTTCTATTCCATTCTCTCCCACCAAACAGCCACGCTGTTATCATGTCCAATTTGTACAAATTATCTTCTTAGAGCCCGATAGAATGTTCAGCTGAACAATCCAAGGAACTTTTCCTGAAGAGTTTGCCTTTTGTTGCTTTTATTGATTTTCAATGATTTTATTCCCTTTCGCAGCTCCCTGGATGAAAGACATGGATGCAATTATCAGCTTGTAGAGGATGCTTCCAAACACACAGACCATTATCCCTCCGTTTAATCTGTCATCTATACAAGTCTCACTATCTATCGTCTGGTTTTGAGAACTCGTGTCTACCTTCTCCTTATATCTGTCATATAACTTATTCATTTATTTACTCAGCTCTCCTTCCCCCCAAAAGTATTTATCAAGGAGTTCCTCATGTTTCAGACCTGCTGTTACATGTAGCTGTCTAGGCCTGTACCCCAATAACCTTTTCCACATTTTTTCTAATAAGAAATTTTGTTAAATTACAATTTGAGGAATCAATTTATAAGTTTATAGACAGGGCAGTGGTATCATAGTATTCAGACTAACTTTATGGGTAACTTTACCTTGGGGCTGACATAAAAACATAGTAAATTTAAACCAGTGTACATTTAACAACTCCTTGTCAACATGTGGGCACAGTCGAGACAACATTTATAGGGATAAGAAGCAAATCTGAATAGGAGCCATTACTGGATAATGTTTTCCCTGACACAAAAAGGGGAATTGATGGCGTATGTTATGAAGAGACTAAATGGATACAATCTATAGCCTTGTCAATGAATCAATGGACATCTCTTGTTATCATTTATCTATTTAAGGAGTAAGATAATTACAGGATATATGTAGGTAAACTCTTAATGAGATAATGAGTAGTATGAGAAAGATAGTCATCAGAATAAAATTCACAACATAACCATTGAAAGTGTCCCCACGCCTCTCCAAATTAATGAGGCA